CCCCCCCCCCCCCATTCCATCTTCATTGCATTACTCCTCCAGTCCTCCCTCTTTCCTTCTCTGTTCCATTCCTCCTCCTTCAGCCCTCCCTCTTTCCTTATCTGTTCCATTCCTCCTCCTTCAGCCCTCCCCCTTCCTTCTATGTTCCATTTCTCCTCCTCCAGTCCTCCCCCTTTCCTTCTCTGTTCCATTTCTCCTCCTCCAGTCCTCCCCTTTCCTTCTCTGTTCCATTCCTCCTCCTTCAGCCCTCCCCCTTCCTTCTATGTTCCATTTCTCCTCCTTCAGCCCTCCCCCTTCCTTCTCTGTTCCATTTCTCCTCCGTTCCATTTCTCCTCCTCCAGTCCTCCCCCTTTCCTTCTCTGTTCCATTCCTCCTCCTTCAGCCCTCCCCCTTCCTTCTATGTTCCATTTCTCCTCCTTCAGCCCTCCCCCTTCCTTCTATGTTCCATTTCTCCTACTCCAGTCCTCCCCCTTCCTTCTCTGTTCCATTTCTCCTCCTCCAGTCCTCCCTCTTCCTTCTCTGTTCCATTTCTCCTCCTTCAGCCCTCCTCCTTCCTTCTATGTTCCATTTCTCCTCCTCCAGTCCTCCCTCTTTCCTTCCGTGTTCCATTTCTCCTCCTTCAGCCCTCCCCTTTCCTTCTCTGTTCCATTTCTCCTCCTCCAGTCCTCCCTCTTCCTTCTGTGTTCCATTTCTCCTCCTCCAGTCCTCCCTCTTCCTTCTGTGTTCCATTTCTCCTCCTCCAGTCCTCCCTCTTCCTTCTGTGTTCCATTTCTCCTCCTTCAGCCCTCCCCTTTCCTTCTCTGTTCCATTTCTCCTCCTCCAGTCCTCCCTCTTCCTTCTCTGTTCCATTTCTCCTCCTTCAGCCCTCCCCTTTCCTTCTGTTCCATTCCTCCTCCTCCTTCAGTCCTCCCTCTTCCTTCTCTGTTCCATTTCTCCTCCAGTCCTCCCGTCTTCCTTCTCTGTTCCATTACTCCTCCTCCAGTCCTCCCTCTTTCCTTCTCTGTTCCATTTCTCCTCCTCCAGTCCTCCCTCTTTCTTCTCTGTTCCATTACTCCTCCTCCAGTCCTCCCTCTTCCTTCTCTGTTCCATTACTCCTCCTCCAGTCCTCCCTCTTTCCTTCTCTGTTCCATTTCTCCTCCTCCAGTCCTCCCTCTTCCTTCTCTGTTCCATTTCTCCTCCTCCAGTCCTCCCTCTTCCTTCTCTGTTCCATTTCTCCTCCTTCAGCCCTCCCCTTTCCTTCTGTTCCATTTCTCCTCCTCCAGTCCTCCCTCTTCCTTCTCTGTTCCATTTCTCCTCCTCCAGTCCTCCCTCTTCCTTCTCTGTTCCATTTCTCCTCCTTCAGCCCTCCCCTTTCCTTCTCTGTTCCATTCCTCCTCCTTCAGTCCTCCCTCATCCTATAGAAAACTCATACTCCTTTTTAACATCCTGATTGGCCAGAAAGCCGGCTCCATGCTTCTCGCCACATAGTGACGAGAAGCACGGAGACGGCTTCTCTGCTAATTGGAAAGCCGGGTGGCAAGTCATTACATGCTGCCTGGCTACCTGAATGGGACTTCCGGTACTCGGTATCGAAAAAATAATAATATCGGTATATATATATATATACACACCGTTGTTACTAGCCAAAGTATTTGTATTTCAGTTAACCTAATACTGTGATATCCACAGTTCTTCCACACAGTAGGGTCTGGTAGTGCAGCAGACCTTATTTTTCTCTGCCGCAGCTAAGAAACATACAGACCCCCCCCAATGCAGTTTCAATTCTGTCTGAGTGACTGGCTCAAAAGAAGTATGCTCATCTGAAGTTCTAACTTCTCTTGCTGCATGCGTGCTACACCTCAGTGCGTTAGAAAATGCTGCAACAGCTTTTTATTTCTCTCATTACAGGTTTAGTTACATAAGGATGCACAGCAAAGTTCTATAAATGTGGAGAATGGAATGTTCACTACATCCAGGGGTAACTGCAAGCCACAATTACACATACAGTAACATTGTGATTCAAGTGGGTAAAAGTGCTCTTACATAATTATCCAGTACCAGGACACGGTATAATCCTCAAAGATCTTCATGGCCACCTGCCGGGCCTCCAGCACCACGTTGGCCTTCCTGTACGGAACAGATCACCGGTTATGGTCACAATGTAATATGGGTAGAGATCAGGGCTATAATAACACTAGGCACACCGCAATAATAAAACATTTCTATAGAAGCTTCTTCCATTTTGTCATGCAGTTCTTTTTAGCATAAATTATTTTGGAAATGCATTATTGGAGACATGTTCATGTGCTATATATTCACAGCTACTTTTTAACTGTAGCAAAGAGAAATAAAACTATTTTCATATTTACTAAACTATAACGGGTCTTGACTCGTCTCCACATCCCCTGTAAGCCGTCTAACTTTCTAGAGCTTGTGCTTAATTTATTAGAAGAGCTTCTAACCCTTCCTCACGCTACAAACGTCTTTTAATTTTTATCGGAGGAGAAATTTCCCATGACGTTCAGTCCCGTCAAGGAGTGAGGGGTAACCTCCACCAATAGGGGAACCAACAGCAATAAAAATCAGGTGGAGGTGCCAACTTCCCCCTGCTCAATCTAAAAAAAAATATATAGGTTTTGGCTGGAGTTTGGCTGACAAAAGGCATCTGCCATACACTAACCAACTTGTATCAAGCAATGACAGTTCAGAGCAAGGTATAACAAGGTTTCAGAGATCTATAGCACTGTTCCTGAAAATCTTCCAGCCCTTAGGAAGTGTTTCATAGAAAAGTCATCCCCAAGCAGGATGGAAGAAACTACAGTGTTCCAGGGAGACACACGTGATCATGGGAATCCTTTTTTGCTTTAAAGATTTACTTGCGAAAAGCTCTACTAAAAAAACGTAGATGATCATCAGGATAAGCACATGCAGAGGACATTGTGAGGACACAAGTAAGCTCAGAGCACCAGGAAAGAACTGCTGCCTGGGTTGGTAGACAAGAGGAAGATGCACTGAGGGCTGGTCGTCTCTGTACTCACTTGGCTCCTTCCAGCAGGTCAGACACATTGCGCTGTTTTTGGCCTCTTCCATCATCAAATGTTGTTACGTTGCCAACGGTAATCACTCCCTTATCAGAATTAATGGCCGGGAAGCACCTTCTGGTGACTACAGAACCAAACACATCGATCAGCGAGCATACTACATCAAATTCACAACATTATACAACCATTAATAGCAATGTCCTTCCCAGGATGTGACATGGAGTCTGTCCCTCCCACTACAGGGTGACACAGACAGGAGGAGCTATGTGACATGGAGTCTGTCCCTTCCACCACAGGGTGACCCAGAAAGAACTAGGAGTCTATACTTCCCACCCACCATGAACAATCTATGAACAATTACCACTTTGGGTATAATAATTTAGCATTAAAAATAAAAGAGGGTTGCAGATTGGCTCCTATAGGTTACTGTACATTCAGGTTGCCCCTCACCTTTTAAAAAAAAAAAACCTGCAAGTACAGAGAAATGTTGAACTGACAAAAGTCCAATTTGCGACCAAACTGCTGCACTAAAATCCCAGAGAGTGTCGTCAGCAATGCCTGTTTTCTCCCCTGTTGAATTACATCACACCTCCCACTTATGCTATGGAGTTGAAAAGGAGAGGTGCCCTGTAGTCCAGCATAGGACAGCTGGGTAGAGCTAACAACACTGCTGGGTATTTCAATGTAGCAGAGGCAATGTTTTGCCAGCTCAAAAAGGAAATGAAGAGCTCACTGGATTTCTGGCAGAAAAAAGGTATTTATTTCTGCAGTGTTTTAAAAGAGATAAAAGATTGGGCAATGTGCAGCTATAAGATGTACTGATAAAGTTTTGTGTCCCAACATACACATCGTAGCTCATTTATAATGCACCAGGCAGATGGCATTCACACGGCACTAGCGCCCCTCGATGGTGCTGAGGAGTACAGGAAACTTTTATAATAACCCCCTTTAATGCCATCAGTATATCTGTTCAGTGTCGCCCCCAGGGTCGGATTTACTCTCTGCTGCCCCAAGGCCAGGTTCCTCAATGCGCCCCCCTACCCGCCAACCCAAGCTCCCATGGAGAATGGCAGACCAGCAGGCTGCATACAAGCAATATCAGCGACATCACTGGGATCACTTGTACAAAACAAGCGGCAGCTTCCCCGCTCTACATTTACCTCCGCTTGCCCAAAGCAGGGCTAAATGTAGAAAACAACTACCTGCCAAGCGCCTGGAACTACATGTCCCGGGCATCGGAGATAGGAATTCCACACCCCTGCTGCCCCTCTACTTCCTGCTGCCCCCTGGTTGGCCTTGTGGGAAATCCAGCCCTGGTCGCCCTCTGATGCTTAGGAGGAGTACTCACATGGTTTGCTCGGAGTAATCATGGCCGGACAATCTCGATCTCTCAGCACCTCAACTGGGCTCTAAAATATTATTATACAAATGAAGAAAATTAAGGAGAGGACACACACCAAAACCCATACTCCCCGCCCTCTACCCAACAAATCATACACAGCAGGAAAAAAGACAAAAGGACTAACCAGAAAATCTGTAATGGCTGAATATTAACAAGCCGAATATCAGACATGCACCTTTTTTTGTTTTCTTTGCAATAAGTCTAAAAAAATGTTCATCTTAAAAACACAGACAAAAAGGGGGGAAAACCCCAACAACTGTCAGGGCAAAGGTAAGGGCATCATACCGCCAGGGAGGTATAAAAAGGGTCGAACGCGCGTTTCACTGAACTTAAAAACAAGCTGAAAAAACGCGCCTATAGTAACTCCCACGTGTGAACCCAGCCTTAGACCAAAAACGGGTTACTTGCGGGCAACCCCACCAGATGTACACAAAAGTGCCTTCCGCAGAACAGCCCCTGAACCAGAAGAAGGGTAGGAGGGAAGGGCTTTAGGGACATGCATCTTTTTTAAATGCAGAGCACCACAATGCTCAGCATTCATGTGCATGGGGTGCCATTCAAAATAATGGCTCTGCTACACACCATGGGAGTTGCCGTATGTTGCAAAAATGTGTAATAAAACATGTGTTACAGCACTGCACCCATGTGAAGGAAGATCAAGGCCTCCATACATGGCCCATGGACTGAACAAGTGAAAATCAGTTGATCCACGCAAGCAATGAGGGTGTCTACAAAACAGCTATTGTTTTTTAGGCAGCCACAGAACCCAGCGTTGGCACACAGGATGCAATCACTGATCCGCGTATAATTCTCCACCCGGCCCAATCAATTTTTAAAATCTACTTTTTTTGAGCCGGGTGATGCATGCAGTGTCACCCACGGCTCAACTTTCAGTTGATTCAGCTAAAATTTGGCAAAAACTCGCATAGTAACCCTCAAAACAAGTAGACCAGTCATTTGAGATTCATCACCACCTTAAAGTGACCCTGTCCCATTGAAAAAGAATAAACCAGACCCATTCTGTATAAGAATAGGTTTCAGGATTACCTTTCCAGTGGGCATTGTGTTAAACTACTGTGTCCCTAGAGATGTAGCTGCTGGTGGAAAGAGCCAAAACGCCCAGCAGGGGCCACGCTATCCGCAGGACCCGAAAGTGTCAGATAGCAGCAGTGATGCCAGGAACTCTAAAAAGAGAAAAGTTTTTCAACACCACCCATTGGAGGTGCAAGTATAAACTTCTACAAGATGGTTTTGCTTTATTCTTTGATGAGGACAGGGTTACTTTGAAGGAGAACTACGGGGAGAGTGAAATACACTCATCCCCATAATTAGTGCGGACGTGCGACACTGCTGCCGTCACACGTCGGCTCTATAGATCAAGAACTGATCGATCACAAACTGCTGATCGCTCAGTTCTCGATCTTCTCCCTGCAGAGAGAAGTGACTGTCAGTCACTTCTAGATAATTGCAGAAGCGTCACCAGCACACCAAATCCTTATAGGATCAAAATCACTGCACATGTTGGATTGTTTATATAACCCCTTTTTTTCCTGGTATAATTGTATGCTTTACATATGGCGGTTAGATATGACTAATTTGCAACAATACTTTGGTTTCTCTTTCACTTGAAAATAGTGAATAGAAGCTTGTCTTTCTAATGATTCCATTGTTCACAGCTGTTTGGTTGTTTGACGTCATGTGACGTCAGGGGGTGTGTCTAAGGGTGTTTCTGCACTGCTTTATGTCTATTTAAACCCTCTCTGTTCTATATATTAGGGGACGTTTAGGCTGGGTTCACACCTAGGCGTACCGAATATGCGCGTTTGTCGAGCATTTCGTGTCGCTCGATTCGCGGTAAAAAACGCTACTTGGCTGTATCCCAGTGGAAACGCACGACAAAAACGCCCCAAAGAAGCTCCTGTACTTCTTTGGGCGTAGGACGTTTTGTAGCGCGTTCATATGGCCTGTAATGCGCCCACGTGTGAACCATACCCATAGGAAATAATGGGATTTCGGTGTTTGAGCGTTTTGCAGAGCGTAGGAACGCGCTACAAAACGCCCAGGTGTGAACCGGGCCTCAAAGGGTAATGTAGAGGGGGATAGGCACATATAAGGTTTATTAATGGAATGTTATTTTTGGGATAATATTTAGGTATATGAAGAGTAGGAACACAGGTATATAGGGAGGGAGGAGGATAGACTAGAGGATTTAAAGAAAGTAACACAACAATTGGAGTATTGTTTATAAGACATCATACTTGAACACATGAAGAGTTTACACATAAGAAGAGTAGAGTAAATACTAAGAGGAGGTGGAGGGGGAGTCACAGACACAGAGTATAGTGTATGGAGAAGGAATAACACAAGAGGTGTATATAAAAACTGACTCTCTTCCGACCCTCCTCCAGAAGAAGATATGAATGGTGGAATGAATGAGGGAAGAATGAGGAGGTAGATTTGGTAGGAATTGTATATGGAAGATAGATGTATGAGTATTTATGCTTTGTTTCTTTTAAAAATACAATAAGTAAATTATACTGTAATTAAGTACAATTATAATAATAAAAACATATTAAACAAAAAATAAATAAACCCTCTCTGTTCTTATCATTGTGTCATTGCTATACCTGATGAAGGGACCCTGTGTGGCCCCGAAAGCGCTTGTGTAACTGACATGAGTTTGCAATAAATCTACGAATTTTGATCCTATAAGGATTTGGTGTGTTGGTGACGTTTCTGCAATTATCTGTATTTGGCGGCTCCATCCGCAGTCATTCCAAGCACCCCCTCCCCGATCACGGGGTCATACCGGTAAGGAGTGCAAGTAGCCTTTTCTTCTTTTTTTTTTTTGTTAGTCACTTCTCCCTGCAGGGATTCCCCTCTCTCTGTTCCTTCAGCGCAGCGGGGTGGATCAGGGCAATAGTGCTGGGATATTACCCGGCTGCAGTACATCTCTGCGCTGTCAGCATGTAGTGAGCAATAGCCTGTAATTTGCTGAGTTTTTGATCTCAGGAAGTGATTAGTAAATGTCCTCCGTGACCCCAAAGAGAATCAACAGCAAAAAAGGTTTGGTCATAGTTCTCTTAAGTTACAGAAAATGTTGGGTTTGGTAATGCTACAGTCACAGTGAGGACACACAAATGAAACGTTAAAGCTAAACTACAGGCACACCATTAAATACATAGATCTGTACTTCTGTCCATCCATTCCTGAAATTACACAGACTGTATAACCAGGTGGATAACTCCACTTGAAGGAATACCACAGCGGTGTCTTCACCAGCAGCCTAGACAGTGACAGCAGCAGAATGATGAAGTCATCTCTCTGCTCTCACATCTCTGCAGCATGCCTGACTGCCTCCCAGTGCTGTCCCTTCCTCTCCTACTACCATTTGTATAGGGATTGCAAGAGGCTGATACAAAGTCAATTTCAGGTACTCATACAGTAACTTGTGTCTTTTATATTTCCCTGGGATTCAGCTTGAAGTCATTAATGGAGTCACCTTGGAGAAGTCGTTGAAGCCATCCCTGCAGAACTTCTTGTAGTAGTCAAAGTTTTGCTGGGTTGTTGCCACACTGAGGTACGTGAGGAAACGGTCCGGGCATTTCTCCACACAGATCTGTCAAAAGGAACCAAAATCCAAATGATATGCGTCATAAGGTCCGCTTATAAGCTAGTGTATATACTGTATGTACACACATGTATAGATGGAGTTTGATTGAACAGTTTAACATAACAAGCAAATACAAGATACAAACTGAACCAGCAGCACCTAAAATATTTAATACGCTCATTCTTTTCTCTACCAGATTTATAATAAGTAGCCCATTAGATAAAGAGATAAATCTATAAATCTAGGACCCCATGATTCAGGTATGTATGGAGGGGGCTGCAGATGTGACCATGTTTAAGGTTACACTCGGAATATGGGCGAAACATGAAATAAAAAAAAAAAAGGTAAAACTTGGCACTTCTTTAATTTACTAACCTGCATCTGTAAAAATTAACTCCAGATAAATGGCAAATTAACTCTTGTAGTGGGGCTACCCCTGCGCTGCAAGGGTTAATTGTTCATTTTGGTCTAGGGTCTAAAAATTTTTTTAAAAAAAAGGTATACTCACCTGATCCTCGGCCATACCCGACTGTTAGACCGGTCCCTGCAGCCTCTGCTCCCCCGGGTTCAGGTGGTCTAAGCCCCACTGACGTCCATACGTTTAACACAAGTCCACTGACTTGGACTGGACGTGGGAATGTCGAGGGACATACCACAGCCTGAGCGGGGAGTGGTCACCACCAGAGGATTGAGGATCGGGTGAGTATAGCTTCTTTATTTTGGACCCACAGACCAAAAATGAGCACTTAACCCTGACAGTTGGGGTAGCCCCACAGCAAGGGTTCATTTGTAATGTGTGTGGGGTTCTTCTTTAAAGGCACACCATAGATCCGAGGCTACGCTATAAAGTAGTCTTTTGTTTTGAGGAGCTTGAAAAGTTTTCAATGATGGTACAAAAAGTCTGTGGCCAGGAAGGAGGCTGCGGAGAGAAGAGAACTGCAATCTGTGTGCGAGCAGCGGTCTCTCTGCAGCAGATGACATAACACCCCACCCCGGCCAATCCAGAGAGCTCTGCGATCCAAAGGGGAGCATTAGCTTTGCAGATTGCCTTGCTCTGACTACATGGGAGGCATGTTGGAGCCATTCCATAGAGTCAAGAGACAATGCGCCGCTATGTACAGGAGATACACCGAGTATCCTGTTTTTATACAGGCAGGAAAGAGAACAACTTTGAATCAGATAAAACCAGCATGTTTATCTTGCAGCTGAATCCACACAGAAAATCTTTAGACGAGGAGACCACATGCCAAGTCAGTCATGTGAGCATAGAAGCGTAACCACATGTGACGCCGTTGTCTCTCCCGCACTCCCAGCCGCTGATCATGTGTCTCACCTGCGGCGTTGGACACTGGAACTCCAGGAGCACAAGCGGGCTGGCGCACTTCATGATGTTGAAGTAGAACAGGAACGGCTTTTTCCTGTAGGTGCAAAAAAGAATTGTTCAACTTTTTACAATCTCAAAACTGGTACAAAAAAAACAAAACAGCAACGTTTGTATTTTTCAGGATTTTTTTTATTTTTTGTGCCCTTTTTGTCAGCAGACAAATACTCAATAGTCAACTGGGAACTTGTTTTTGCCTTCTGAAAAAGCTGACCCAAAACCATTTTAGTCCCCTTCTTCATTCTAATGTTGCACAGCTCACAGTTAAGCTGCCCATACATTCAGTGGCGTAACAATAGCCATAGCAGCCCATGCAGCTGCTATGGGGCCTGGGGGTGGAAGGGGGCCCCATAAAGAATTGCAGAAGATGCTTTTGGCTCTGAACCCCCTATGACATTTGCAATGAAGAGCTTGCTTCAGATGTACAGAAGGAGGCTCTCCTGCTATCTGTACTTGATTTAGATTCTACAGGGTTGCCGGGGGGGCCCCCCATCAAAATTATGCTATAGGGCTCTATGATCTGGAAAGCCTCCCCGCTGTGTAACCAGTCATGGACGGAGCACCTCCTGGTAATCACAGGCGGCGTGTCAGCCAGCTTGTGACAGCTATTTTAGGTAACAACAGCGGGCTTTCCCATTGCTGTGTATAACCTAACTCAGTGAGGCCAACAAGCTACAACAAGCCTCTGACATGGAGTCAGAGGCTTGAGCTCTGTGGATGATTTGGACCAATTGCAAAGCACCATTGGTCCAAGCTGTCCAACCAAAAAAACACACAACACATTGACGGCAATCATCTAGATGCCCCATCAGTGATCAGCAGGTGAGGTATAGGGAGGCTACTCCCAGAATAGCACGGTGACCCAGTCTGGGGGTCTCCTTACCTGCCACTGACCTCACTGAACGTCCCAGGCATAGGAGCAAACCACTGAGCTTTTCCGGAATTCCTCTTTAACAAGGGGCTGCTGGTTTAAATCTTTTAGCGAGCAACAGGGTCACTTTCAATGTGAACATGGAAAAATCCCTACTATACTTTCCCAGCAAAGATGCCGACATTCTGGAGAGACACTTGTTGGCTGAGCTTAGTGTAGATTGGTGACTTACTCATTACGGGTGCCAGCTTGGCCGCAAAATTCCCCCCTGCTGTCAGTGGGATATATCACCTTCCTCGGGTCTCCATATGTCCACGCTGCAAAAGGAATAAACAACAATAAATCAGAGACCGTCGCTAAGGAAACACAGATCATCCTCTCCTCTTCCTTGCCAAAATCTAATCATCAATAATCTGATCAGTGACTGCAGAAAAAAAATGGCTGCCGAAGTTCCATTCTAATGTCTCCCATAATCACATTTCCTCCTCTAGCATGCAGAGTCACCAGTGAAGGAGCAGAACTGATGGTCATCTCTCTGCTCTCCCCTCCAATCATGGTCACAGAGAGAGCTGGTGAGCCAAAACTCTCCACAGAATACAGGAGATGACAAAATGAGGATAAAAGCAGAGGATGCAATTTATACTAGCAGAACCGACATAATACATTATTTATTCATGGTTTAGGATTAAAGGTTAAAAGTTTTTTTTTTCTGCAACCTGTTGCCCTTTAGGAAGATTTTACTTCACTTTCTATCCTGTACAGACAACAGGAATTAAAAGGAAATGTCTCCTCTTGGACGGTAGTCAACACAACAAGAGTTCCCATTGGAAGATTTCCCCAATATTGATGTTCTGGTGACTGCTCAAAGTTTCCATCACTTTCAGTCCCAGTGTCATCGATCACATGAATAAATACCGGCCAATACCCTGCTTCAACATGCTAATAATTTATTTTCAAGGAACATCATTACATGTTAGACCCAGGAATATCACTGGGGCTCTGTGCTTCTCTTTTCCGTACAGGCAGATCATGGCTGGTGGGAGGGGCCAGCAGGGAGCTGTACATAGCTTCCTGAAAACATCACAGCACCCTGCCTCAGTCATTTCCTCTTGAGCCCTCAGCCTTGTTGGAAGCAGTGGGCTGGTTCTTGTGAGGAGTTAAGCAAATATAAAAATGCCATGTTGGGTGGATGTCAGTTTGGATAAGTGGGTGCACCTAGGCAGGCTGCATATGCATCTAGACAGCCCTAGGTAACGCCCACTTGTGATGCTGAGCCTCATGATGAAAAGAACTGAAATCCCAATGAATGGTGCAGGTCAGGGACAGTCAAGCTGGGGAGGAAAGCACTAGATGATGCTGGACATTCTCCAGCCTGGAAATGGCTGCAGCTTCTAGCGCACATTGTGAGAAGGTCGCAGTCTGCAGAGAAAATCAGAGTAAGCAATTATAGTCCAGGAGAGGAGAGGAGCCGGTACAACTGTGCGAGATGCTTAAATTATTTCAGATCAGGACTAAATAATGATTTCCTAGACCTACCATGAGGCCAGTGATGAAGCAAGAGCGTTATTTCCCCAACACTCACTTGACATTTAAGTCTTGTAGACCAAAATGGTAAAACAGAGAACAATGGTTCCATTAATGGCTGTTTAGTTTTGTGGGCACATCCAGACCTGTCTCAGTGAACAGTATGTACAGCCGTCTTCTATAAAAGGTTTAGGCTGGGTTCACACCTAGGCGTTTTTACAGCGACAAAAAAAGACGCGACAAACGCGCGTTTCTGAGGACTACCTGGCTGTATCCCAATGGATATACGCGGCAAATACGCCCCAAAGAAGCTCTTGTACTTCTTTGGGCGCAGGGCGTTTTGTAGCGCGTTCATACGGCCATTTTAATCACCACTGTTTTATTTTTTGCTATATTAAGGAAAAATTATTAAAAATGTTGAATTTTTTTTTTTCTTTACATTATATTAGGAAACAATGATTTGCCATATTTTTGGTAAAAATATAAAAAGACGGGGTCACGTCGGGTAAATAGACACCAAACATGTCAAGCTTTAAAATTGCGCGCACCCGCGAAATCACAAAAAACTACCATACCCAAAATTGACCATAGGCAAAACACTTTAAAAGCTTTTACCTCTCATCAGTTTAGTGTTATCAGTGATTGATGGCCCTTGAATTATTGTTCTCATTTCGACGTCCGCGACGATATGTAACATGTGCGGCGTAATGGGCGCAATCGTTGTTTTCGCACGTATGCGCACCCGACGCATGTTTGCATTCGTGTATGGGGGGGACTTGGAAAAAAAATGGTTTTATTTTATTCTTTTTTATGTGTAACTTTAAATTGGGGGGGGGAATTTTTTTCCTATTTTTTTTTTCACTTAAATTTATTGCTATCACATAGGGGGCTAAGAAACCCTCTTATGTGATAGCAAAAGATGTGACAGGTCCTCTTTATGGAGACATCAGGGGTCTCCAAGACCCCTAATGTCACTTAGGACCCCCCTGAAGAAGCAGAGATCTGCTTCATCAGCTTCTCTCCAGCATCTGAAGCTGGAGAGTGACACAAGAATGCGGAAGTGATGCAATATACACCACTTCCACTATGCTGGTCCCGGGCTCGCAACGGGCACAGCGGAGCTCGAGACCAGCGTGACAGCAGGAGGGGGGGGAGGCGCACATACCGGGACCTCATGCAAGCGATCCTGTATGTTAAAAGGCATTGCTGCTTGTTTTTACATTTTAGGTCTTTTCCGCTCCTGCGCGGCTGAGCGGACGTCTAAAGACACCCACTCAGATCTAGAGGGCTCTCGGCCGGCCGTTTTTTTACAACGGCCGGCCGGGAAGTGGTTAATACTGTGTGATAGGAAAGCTTTGTTAGTATGATGTGGGATTCTCATCAATGTTAACAACTGGGTTGCAAACTGCAATGAGATTAGGGAAGAGCACTAAGTACAGTAATACCTCGGTTCACGAATGCTTCTGTTCGCGAACAATTAGGTTCGCAAACAGGAAGTTTGGCAAAATTTTGGTTCCGTTTGTGAACTCCAAATCGGGTGACGAACACGACCATCTTCTCCGCTCTGACACGTGGTCGTGGCTTACTGTAGTCAAGATTGTGGTCGCAGACAGACCTGTGCACACTTGCTGTGAAGCTTTTTAGCACATACAGTACTGTACAGTATTGTTCAATCCAGCATGGCTCCAAAGAAAGTGCAAGGCAAGCATGGTGGTAAAAAGAGAGTGCGGAGCGGTAATTAAGGTGACAAGAACGTTAATGTTCAACCTCTTCATACTGTACTGTGTGTCATATGTTTGCGGTAAAAAAAAAAATACATATGTTTCAGAACAGATTGACCTGAATTACATTGAACCTTATGGGGAAATTTGATTCGGTTCTCAATCAGAATCGTGGAACGAATTAAGTTTGTGAACCAAGGTACCACTGTACTAGCTTTTTAATTAGACAAAAAGTTCTTTTCGGATAGATACATAGATCAAAAAATAATACTCACCCACAATCCCCACAGCCACATATCCAATAATGGCCAGTACTATGAGAATACAGCACAGGATGTCCGTACAGCTTCTGCAACACAAAATAAAGATTGCTAAAAGTTACTATACATTCAGCATACAAGATCCATCAACCCAAAACTAGACCACCATGTAAAAGGGGGCTCCTAGTATGAGAGGGGGACTATAATGAGAAAGAATTTTAATGTAAAAGAGGGGTTCCTGATGTGAAGGGGAGAACCCCTTTTCTTTGTGTTTTTGCTTTGGGTGCTGCCTTAATATCCATACCAGGCCCCTATCTGGCATAAGGGTCTGATATGAATTTGGAGGAGACAGACATCATTTTTTACATTTGAGCTTTTTACATTTTAGACTGGAACGCCTCAAGAATTTACGTACTTTGAAAGGGTGTTGCGTCTGAAAAAAGGTTGAGAAACACTGCATTAGGTGCCCCCTGGATTTCTGTCATCTCAAACCGAACACATGGTGCCCCCTGGATTTCGGTCATCTCAAACAGGACATAAGGTGCCCCCTGGATTTCTGTCATCTCAAACAGGACATTAGGTGCCCCCCGGATTTCTGTCATCTCAAACAGGACATAAGGGGCCCCCCGGATTTCTGTACAGGAAATAGTGAAACGAAGGCTTCTATAGGATAAGGTTATTGGATGATCCAACAGGAACGCTGCTTCTAAAAAGGAGCCAAAACAATCTAAATTGCTGAAGAGAGTACTGACTATAGATTTTGCTCGGAGATGAGATTTAAGTACAAGAACAGAATTCCTTCACAGGCTTTGCTTTCTCTGTATGGTTTATGTTCCCAATAAAAGTCTTCCAGCTATTTTATTTATGAGTCACTTAAAGTATGAATTACATCCTACCGCATCTAATGGACGGTCTGTACCACAGTGCATTACAATCACCCGGGGATTCCGAGTACAGCGCACTGACGAGTCTCATCCTGGAAATAGGACAGGATGAGGAGTAACTGTGCGGCCATATTGAACATCGACTCTCCTGGTCAGTTAAATCACAGTGCCACCCCATACTAAGGAAGAAGCAATTGTGCGGCCATATTGAACATCGGATCTCCAAGTCTTTGGTACCACGTCTCTATTATAGGAGGGGGCCAGCCACCCTGCACAAGGAGAGAGAGCAGCAGTGGCCAGTCTTTATTATAGGAGGGGGCAGGGACTAGACCAGCCACCCTGCGCAAGGAGAGCAGCAGTGGCCAGTCTTTATTATAGGAGGGGGCAGGGACTAGACCAGCCACCCTGCGCAAGGAGAGCAGCAGTGGCCAGTCTTTATTATAGGAGGGGGCAGGGACTAGGCCAGCCACCCTGCGCAAGGAGAGCAGCAGGAAGCAGTCGTTATTACAGCAGGGGGCGGAGACCAGACCAGTCACCCTGCACAAGGAGAGTGAGCAGCAGTGACCAGTCTTTATTATAGGAGGGGGGCGGAGACCAGACCAGCCACCCTGCACAAGGAGAGTGAGCAGCAGTGACCAGTCTTTATTATAGGAGGGGGCGGAGACCAGACCAGCCACCCTGCACAAGGAGAGTGAGCAGCAGTGACCAGTCGTTATTACAGAAGTGGTCGGAGACCAGACCAGTCACCCTGCACAAGGAGAGAGAGCAGCAGTGAGCGGTCTTTGTTACAGGAAGCTCCAAGTCTCACACTGGATTACTGCCCAGACCTGGAAGAAATACACAAAGCTCACCGAGATTCCAGGAAGAATACACATGGCTCTTGTATGAAGACAATATAAATTTAGCTCAGATTTCAGCTTTTATCTTCTCTAAAAAAAGGTTTGGATTTAGATGCACTCTAATGTGTCATCAAACAAAGGGTGATCGCTGACTTACCTGTTGTGTATCGGGCCTTTAAAAGACGGGTCATACTTCCTTGGTTCACCTGCAATAGAAAAATAAATATATAAAGTGAATTATCAAGTATGGACAGGCAACAACCATAAGCAATATTTGAGCTACTAATGTGATCCAGCAAATCCTGCAACTCTGCTAAAGTCAGAAAGTTCACTCCGTTTACCTTACTCTGAGTATTGTGAAATCCAGAATACAGAGCACCGTACAGGGTCCCTGGGAGAATTTCCACCCAGTGATATCACAATGAAACTTTTAGAATCTGATCGATTGCCGTCAGAAATGTCTGCCCTTATGTTTTCATTATGCATTAAAAGGCGCGATTCTTCATTCTTACCGAGTGTTCCTTTAAACTTTGTTTTATACAGCGAAGAGTACAAACACTCCGGTGAAATAAGTTCCCTAATAAGTGACTTCAACATCATCTACCGTATTTGCCGGCGTATAAGACGACCCCCCACTTTTTGTGTAAAAATATAGGTTTTGGTCTATACTCGTCGTATAAGACGAGTATAGCCCAAAACAATGTTTAAATGCACTTACTAACCTCCTTGGCGGTATTCCCGAGTGTGGCTCGGGGTTAATTTTCAGTACCATAAGTGTTAACCCCGAGCCACACTCAGGATTACAGTCTCTTACCTTGTCCAGGATCCCAGCAGCGTCCTCCATCTTCCGTCCTTCAGCTACTACCGCGCTGAGCCAATCACGGCAGGCTTTGTATTCAGTAAATACAGGCTTTGTATTAAAGAATACAAAGCCTGCCGTGATTGGCTCAGCGTGGTATACTGTATGTAGCCGAAGCTACATACAGTATACCGAAGTATACCCGGCGTATAAGACGACCCCCGATTTTCGGGCGATTTTTTGGGGTCTCAAACCCCGTCTTATACGCCGGCAAATACTGTAATGTACTTTTTATGTTGTAGCCTTTAAAGTGAACCCCCTTTCACTAAAAATCAAATCAGCATACAGCTCCGCATGCCAATATGAAATCATCTCACATTCATTAAACACGTTTTTATTTTACTAACAACTATACTTTTTCTACTTCCTGGTCCTCTTGGGTATTAGTGATGTAATCTGTGCCCAAGCGTTGCATCCTGGGAAGATTACATCAGAAGAGCATTGCTGGGAAATCCAATATATAAGCTCATGAGATCTCAGGGAAAGACATTTCCTGTCCCTGAGACGATGTGCATGTGACTAGGACATGTGACCATGCACCAGATTTCCAGGAAGTAAAGGGAGGTGGATTAATCTGCTCTTAGTAAAAATAAAAAAATGGCCGCTGTGAGAAGAATGGGGAGGAACAGAAAAATAAGGTTTGCAAAGAATACAAAGCTGACAATTATTTAGAAGTATCTGTGTAGATTGTCCTCACTAAACATTTCTAAAGATGCCTTTGTTGTAATCTCCAAGATATGGGTGAAGTTCTTTTTTGGGTAAAGTCCAAGCACACCAAATATCAATTTAATCGATTCTACATTACAGAAAATGCAGCAGGAAAAGTGACACTGCGGAGTCAGGAGACAAGGGGGGGTCCCTGGTTACAGTCCCTGGTTCCGATTTCCCTGTGGGAAGGGACATGCATTCACTTCTAATACCAATCATGTACAGCAGACGGTTGACTTTTCAGCGATGGAACAAATTTAGATTCAACTGGAAGGGCTCCGCTCAAACATTTTTGTTGCTGCTTTAGAAAGCGAAAATTCACCATTAAAGCAGATCTCCGGAGGAATTACAAAACCCTGCACTGCAAGGGTTAAACATAGGGTTGCCACCCATCCTGGATTCACCTGGACAGTCTGGGTTTCTGCTGCCATGAAACCTGGACACAGCACTCAAAACCCGGACTGTCTGGGTGAATCCCGGACGGGTGGCAACACTACGTTTAACCCTTGCAGTGCGGAGTTTTGTAATCACCCCGCAGATCGGCTTTAATGCTGAATGTCAGGCAGATAGGGGCAACCAAAATTAAGATAGGGGCTACTGGCTCCCCCCACTGAAAGACGCAGGTTCAGGTGTGACCCCGTGTAATTACGTGCGGCTGTGTCCTCCCATAGCAATTGCACGCAGCACCTGTCCCTTCCAGGATCGGGTCATTATGGGTGTGCATGTTGTACGGACGTGCAAGCCCGTCTGAATGAACCCTTAAAGTGCATGTCAGGCAAAAAAAATAAAATTTACCCAATTTTGGAGTGTGTAAGGATTAGAACAGGGGTGAGCAACACCTGCCCTTCCGCTGTGTTTTACCTACATACCCCAACATGCCTCTGCCACTGGGAGTCATGCCTGTAACGGTCTTGCAATGCCTCATGGGACTTGTAGTTCCACAACAGCTGGAGAGCCAGAGTAGCCCACCCCTTGAATAAAACCTCTGTTAGATTTCTAACACTATCCAGGACTTGTTTAAGTCTAGGGGGAAAAAAGCATTTTTATTTGTCTGTATTGCTGCTGGAGAGTCCCATTGACTTCTTGTTTGGTAAAATGTTGTCAGCAAGACAGGAAGTAATGTTAAATCTCTCTTGTGGGGCACCGGATAGCATTATAAACCTGAGCTTGTAATCCTTCTCCTCTCTATCCACAATGGAAAAGGTTTTGGCCGGACACACAATTTTATATGAGCTTTTTTTTCCATCCCAGATTTTTGATTGTAACTACCTCAAAAATCCTCCAGCTTGGGGAACATGTAACCCACGTGCTGCAGAAAATCGGTCCAAGTCACTCCACCGGAACACCTTTCTACGTGTTGTTGACAGCGAATCTGCACAGCAATGCCAAGTAATACATTCTACTGGTGAAGAGAAGCCAGATTTGGCAGATGTAATCACAGCCTGTGGGTGGATAAAAATAATGCCTCCGTTTCCCTTCACAAGCATATATTATGTGTACCATGTGAACTCTGCATACTTGGGCCAAGTCACTTCTCCTTTGTGTTACAGACGTTTGGCCATAATTAGAGAGTGGAAGACGGAGCGGGGAGGGAAGAGACATTCCCAGATGTTTGGCAGCAATGGAGCAGGATAAAATTATACACAGCAAGAAATCAAAGAGAGGGAGAGATATGCATGACAAGATAGACAGGACCAAACGGGGCTCCGGTACCACACTGAGGAGGCAGAGATATGTACAACAGAGCAAAAGGCCAATACGGGGAAATGGTACCAGACAGAGGAGGGAGAGATATGTATGACAGAGCAAAAGGCCCATACGGGGATCCGGTACCAGACTAAGGAGGGAGAGATATGCATGACAGAGCAAAAGGCCCATACGGGGATCCGGTACCAGACCAAGGAGGGAGAGATATGTATGACAGGGCAAAAGGCCCATACGGGAAACTGGTACCAGACCGAGGAGGGAGAGATATGTATGACAGGGCAAAAGGCCCATACGGGAAACTGGTACCAGACCGAGGAGGGAGAGATATGTATGACAGGGCAAAAGGCCCATACGGGAAACTGGTACCAGACCGAGGAGGGAGAGATATGTATGACAGGGCAAAAGGCCCATACGGGAAACTGGTACCAGACCAAGATGGGAAACAGACATGTATGACGGACAGGCCCTAGGAGGCAACAATACCAGACCGAGGAGGCAAAGACACATGCATGACAGAGAGGCCCTAGAGGGCACCGGTACCAGACCGAGGAGGGAGAGACATGTATTGCAGACAGGCCCACGCAGGGCACTGGTACCAGACCGAGGAAGGAGAGAGACATGCATGACAGACAGACCCTAGAGGGCACGGGTCCTAGACTGAGGACGGAGAGATATGTGTGACAGAGACTGACCCACATGAGACACTGGTACCAGACCAATGAGGAAGAGACACATATAGGGGGTTCCCCTACCAGGACAAGGAGAGAGAAAGATGGGTCTGACAGAAACAGACCCATACAGGGGGTCCCATAGCAGACTGAGGAGAAAGAGACATACAGTACATACAACAGATAGACCCATACGGATCTCCCATACAAGGCCAAGAAGGGAGAGACAAGGGTATAACAAAACAAGCCCATACGAGGCTCCCGTAAAAGACTGAGAAGAAAGACATACGTATGACGGATAGACAGGCCCGTAGGGTGCTTATGTACCAGGCCGAGGAGGGAGAGACGGGCATACGACAGATAGACGGGCCCATACATATATACATGTTTATATTCTATACAATACACGCTTTAAAACCTCATTGAATGTGATCCACCTCAAAAGAGCCAATAAATAACTGAAATGTGACCACAAAGATTCCATCTCATAGATCAGCTCTCAGATTTGGTTAGGAACGCATTTGGGCAATTTAACAGTGTCAGGAGGTAACAATTTTTTGTTGTCCATGGCAACAGATAGAATCTCTCATCCAGCACCAGAAATGAAAGAAAATCAGTTTGGTCGCTATGGGCAAAGGCAGTTTTTGTCAGACAGGAAGGAGGTTTCATGTGACCAAGCAGAGCCGACGCTTTTTGCTCCAACGCTGAAGGCTTATAAAAGATGGAAATTGCGAGACAACGCCATGTACAGGCCGGCTTTTATTAGTCACTTGCTGTAAAGGGAGAAGACAAGTCCTATACCACACAGGATAGAATTACTGTGAACGGCACAATAGATACACAAACCAGGGTTGCCCTCCCTTAACCCTTTGGTGTCGACTTCCACGGTTTCCGAATGACTGGGTGGAGTAAGGCTTCCCTATCATGAGATTGGATGTCAGAGTAATTCCCCCGCCCATGTTCAGCCTTAATCTGCTGAAATCCTTTTTCCTGCTGTGTTTACATTCAGCCCATACACAAACAAGGGAGGAAAGGGAACTCCCTCTGTTGTAAATGGGCTCAATATATTGTAAACACTAGCAGTGTTTCCTCTTGGGATGGCTGTGATTGGTTCAAGTACAGAGCCACTCTGATTGGCTCTATACATGGTGTCTCAGCTGTCCAATGCCAACTGAGATCACATGCATCCATGGGCACACTGGCCAGTGTTCTCTGCAGTGCAGTTTTTAAATGGCCCTTGATAAATTAGTAGAACTTGCGTTTT